AAAATATTTGCTGGCATGGGTGAATCCAGGATTTAGTAAAGGGGTGTGCAGGAGAAGTAACAAATGTTGCAGGGGTAGCTACACTCCCAACTCCCAAATCCCTTCTACCCCCTGGTGGGAAGACCACACTGGAAGCAACAGCTAGGGACTTTTTTGAAGTCCTGGAATCAAGTAAAAAGCTTCTGCCCCCCACCTCCCTTTTTGGCTCCCCCTCCCTTCCCCTTTGTGCTCAGTGCTATGTCCCTTCCCCCCTTCTCCCCTTTCCCCGCCTCCTGTCCCATCCCCTGTTGCCGCTGTACCCAGCTGATCTGGAGTGGGGAGCTCCAAAGAGAGAGAAATGGGAGAGCTACAATAAAAGCTGTGTTATCCAGCACTTTACCATCTGGAATGCTTTATTAAGTGACATCTGTCATAGACAGCATCTGCTGTTTACGGTAGTGGATTGACGCAGCAAAAGCAAAACCAGAAGTCTCACCATGGCACTTCCAGTTTTGCCGAGTCCTACTTCTTCCTTGAAGACCATGGCCTGGGGCAAAGCAGCCTGCATGGCCTAGCAGCAGCGGGTGGGAAGTCAGGGTGCTTGTGCTTGGTGCAGGTGTGGCTCTGGCCAGCACTGTGTGGGAGGATAGAGTGAAACCTGCCTTATCCCCACAGCTCTGCTCCCTGAACCTGAGCCTGCAGCGAGGGAAGCTCTGCGCTGGAGCCAGCTGCTTCCCCTGCTGCCCAGGTCCTTCACTCTATCAGGAGTGGAGGAAGCCCCACCCCGTGCTTCCCCACAGAATCCAGCCTGGGGCTTCCCAGTGCGAGTTCGGAGCTGCAGTTATGGCACAGAGCCCCTGCAATAAGAGACAGCCAGCGCTGTGCTGGGGGCAAGGAGTGCAGCCTGCCCAGCCGCTTCTATCCCCATGGCTCTGCATTCACAGAAGGGAAGCCCCATGCTGGACTCTATGGGGAAGCCGGGGGCGGGGTCCCTCCACTCCTGGCAGTGTGTGGGAGCTGCACAGCAGGTAGCTGGGGAAACAGCTGGCTCCAGTGCAGGGCTTCCCCCTCTGCAGGCTCAAGCTCAGGGAGCAGAGCTGCAGGGATAAGGCAGGCTCCACTTTCTCCCCCTGTGCAGTGCTGGCCAGAGCCGCACCTGTGCCAGGCACGAGCACCCTGACCTCCCTGTCTGCTGCTGGTTCCAGGCAGCAGGGGCTGCATGCCATGGGGGGAGTGTGTGGGGGTCCCTACACCACACATTCTCCCTTATACCCCACATACTCGCAACCTGCCCAGCTGAGCTCCATGCTTCTGCTGCCCCTCTTGGGGGAGGAGAAGGGGGAAGAGTTCCCTCCAGCATGGAACAGAGCCTCCCCCTTCCCTGGCGGGGGAGAAGAGGGGGGAAGAGTCCCCCTCTGGGGCCAGGCAGCCTCACAGAGCCCCCCTCCCCACCCCACTGCAGTGGGGGAGGAGGACGGAGAAGAGCCCCCCCAGCACCAAACAGGGCCCCCCTCTCAGACCTCTGGCAGTGGGGAAGAGGGAGGAGGGGGATAGAGTTCCACTCTGGGGCTGGGCAGCCCTGTGTGCCCAGATTGCTCCGGGCTGTCAGGGAGCTGCTGGGTCAGGCCTGCCGGGGCCTGGCCAGACCCCGCCACCCCTCAGCTCAGCTTCCCTGTGGAAGGGAGGACTGCTTTAGTGCCCTCAGGCTTCTGGCTTGAGCCACTGCAGGCATGTTCCGAATGTCTATCCACTTGCAAAACGGTTCACTCTCTAACCTGCAAAGACTGAATCAATTCAGGCTCAGGCTTTTTGAATGTCTGTCCCTAGCCCAACTGTCAGGGGACTAAATCCCAATTTTTGTGGAATTTGGTGCAAAGTATATTCATTTCATTTTATGTTGTTCAAATATGATAGTGATGGATACCCCAGATACATTTAATATAGGTGGAGAACACATCTAGAAGTTTGCCTGTCATCTAGATAAATCCTGTTCACAGTATGATTGAATAAGCTGTAAAGATGTTCCATCCAGCACTAAATTTAAAAGCCTTCATCAGGTTTCTGAATGCTTATGTTCGCTTCTCGGGTTTCAAGCCATGGTTCAGAAAGAAGGTCTAATCACCTCTTTCAGTAGACCAGCCATCCACATTTCAGAAAGTTCCTCATGTTCTACTGCACAGCTCTCTCTCATTACTGCATAGAGAGAGTCTATACAGAATTTGCTGCACTGCATCTTTTTTTTTTTGATCTTGTTCATTTCTATTGTTTGTCTATTGAAGTTTTGCTGTGCAGGCAGATGGTTGGTTCCTGCTTGCAGTGCATCTGCTTCTCAATCAGGGGGTGGAGCTAGCAGCTCAGATGTTATGATCATGATTTTGACGGCATAATATGTGTGTATGTATGCCGTTGCACTTTTGCATGTATAGAATGCATTCCTTGAAGTAAATAATCAAAAACTTCTATGCACATGCAGAGATGTAATGGCACACATAAAGTTGATGGATGATGTACATCATATGAAAATACCTATAAGCAAAATGGTATAGACTGTGCAATCAATTTTGACGAATAAATTGTTATTCAAAGAAAAAAGGATATTTCTGCTTAAAACTGCATGATAGACCCTAGGTTGTCATTCCCTCAGCATAATCAGTCATCAGTCTTCTTCATTTATAATTTTAAAGTAATCTGTTCATTCTATGAGCTATCTTTCTTAACATTACACTGTATAATTTGTTTTCTTTGGCAGCAGTTAACTTTTTTTACAAGTATTTTTTACATTAAATTAAAGCACTTGGATCTCAATCCCCAGATCTTATTTTTGAAAAAATGGGAAAGTTTTTCTCTGATAAGCTTGAGATCACAAGACCCACAAACAGGCTTAAAGCTAAACATGTGCTTAAGTGCTTTGCTGGATGTGGACTAATCTCCACTGAAGATGAGACTAATTTATTTAAAAATGTCTTGTTTGCAACCCATAATGAACCATTTTTATCAAGAGCACCACACAAACAGGGCATTTAGGAAAAAGAAGTGTGAATGAAGCAACAGTGTTGTTAATTGAAATTGTAGTGTAAAATGTGTGTATGTGAACCTAGTGTTTAGAATTACCCAGTTCTGAGCTGGAAGTGTGGGAGGCCTGAAACTCACCTTCTCCCTTCCCATCACGATTTACAACGGAGATGCCATAGCCAGATAGGGGCTGTAGACACACTTTACATTTGTAGTATTCTAAATACTCTTGAAGCACTACCAAAAATGAGCATCCGTATGTTCAAACCATCTGAAGCGCCACAAAATGGCAGATCTGCCACAAAAAGCATTCCTCTTTCAAACAGGAGCTCCTCTGTAACACTACATTTTGTAGCACTACGTGTAATATGTAGATAGTATCTGTCTTTTGGCCCCCCAGCATTCTGCAGTACTCCACATTTTCTCTCCCCATCCCAAGGGAGAAGGAGGGAAAGCTGCTGGCTCCCTGATAGCCTGTCCCATATAGGGAGCTGTCATAGAGCACTACTGAAATACTGCTGGCAGCACCACTGCCATGGAGCACCAGCACCAGCAAGAGCTGGTGCCCCAGGGAGGTGGCAGTGGAAACAGCTACCTCTGCCATCACTGTCAAGAGCACCAGTGGTGGCAGTGGGAATAGGTGTTGCTGCCATTGCCACCACAAGAGCACTGGCAACAGCTGGTGTACCCACATTAGCAGCAGCAGCAGCAAAGAGGGCCGCCTCCATGGGGGGGCAGTCTCAGCTGCTACTGCTGCCATGGGGCCAGTAATAGAGATGGCTGCATTCAGCTGATGCCAACAATGAATGTGGTAGCATCAACTAGAGGCAGCTTCTTTGCCACTGCCACCTCCTCCCTCGAAATCTGTTAAACACAGTCACTGCCTGCAGAAGTGGTGGGGCAAGCTAGGAGAGCAGGGGACAGGGCAAGCTGTCAGTGACAGGCTTCCCTGAGGGCAGGGGGTGTAAAAGATTATCTCACTATCCCCAACTTGGTTGGAGAGTGCACCTTTGCAGTGACTGTGTAGTGCTGCAACCTTGGGACTGTGTACATGTGCGCATCCCCGTACCACTTTTTATAGTGCTGCAAAGTGTTGAGCCAGTTCATAGCACTAGCACTATTAATGAACATGTGCCCATAGCCCAGATTTATCAGTGTTGTGGGCACAGAAAATTCACTTTGCTGCTTCTCTGTATAGGGCATTCTAGAACCACACTTGTGCAGGCCTTGGGGAAATGATTTCATAGAAGCTATGTTGGGCTCATCTTGCATTTGGATCACTTGCTCTTCACTGCTGTCTGCTTTTTCATTTTAAGATGAGTATTTTTATTCCTAACATACCTGTGGCTTTAAGTACAGGATAATTGCTGTGCCACCATCTAGTGGATCCCTTGTGGAACTGGCTGTTTATAGACACACCTTTACTTATGCATATATTGCTCTATTTTAAACCTCTTGGAATGAAACCTGAATAATCAGTGTGACCATTTTCTGTCTAACTCAGCCTAGAATTTATAAAGACCTACGAAGTGCAAGCAGTACATTCCTTTATCATTTTTCATGAATTCTATATTATTTAGTTTTTAGTTCAATTTGTGTCCTGTTGAGTTTTATTTTTGGATGGGATGCTGCCTTTAACCCTATTATCTGAATTTTAATCTCTCTCTCATGTTTGACAGAAGGGTTGAAACTGATAGCTGTAATTACCTTTATCCCAAACTCCTTTACTTTTTCTGTGGCATTTGTCCTTTCCCTTGCTTTATCTATTAGTCTTCTGACACTGAAACTTGATTGATATTAGCTTAATGACAAGGGGCCAAATTCTGCTCCTCAGTTCACCCATGCAAACTCATTGAGGCCATATGAAAAAATGTCATTAAGGGAGCTTTAAAAAAAATCACCTGGCCAAACAATCAGAATAGACATTTCTGGCTTATTCCTGTATTCACTCCAGTCACTGTATAACAGAAGTTCTGTCAGCTTTTCAGAAGAGGTGAGTCATTGCCACTTTTATTTGGGATTAACAGCAAAATCTCCAGATAATTCCATTAACTCAAAAACTCAAATGTAAGCAAGAACTGACAGCATCCTGTAAAGCAAAAGTAATAAGAGGACACAGGGGATAGTATACTTAAATGAAATGCACATTATTATTAGTTTTTGGAATGTCTTTCTAATATAGATGATCAAGGACATAATTGGCAATATATTTAACTGCCAGCATAGTCTCTTCACAGGTTGCCTCTATCTGAGATTCAGGGAGCAGAAAGCCGTATCTGCCTGCATCACGGAGCTCAAAGGTGAAAGCATACTTGATGCCTTGATTGTAAGCCCAGTCATCAGAGCCCCCAGCAGCTGGATCTGTATTTGAAGTGGGAGGGGAAAAAACTTAGCTAGAGAAGGAGCAACAAAGCATTGCTAGCCAGCAGAGAATCTAACACATGTCTATCAAATCATGCAGGTGTAAATGTGAGGAGGACAGATAAAAAGTTTTAAGATACAATGCACCATTTGTGTACATCCTGATCCCAGAATCATTTCTAAAAATGATCTCCATAGATCTTTAAAAAAGGGCCTGGACAATTTTGCCTTTATTATTTAAGGGAGGGAAAAAATATTAGTTTTTGTCTTGTTTGGCTTCCATTTCAGACAGGTGCTACGTTTCAGACAGGATAATGCCATGGAGAATGAAGAACCAAAATGTTTCGCTCTTCTAAAGTTGTGAACCTCACTGTACCAATTCTGCCTTACAGTACTGCAGGTGGCCTAACACTTTTAGGTTCAGGAAGTGTTAGGTTCCAGAAAGGGGACCAGAGGAAGGACAGGCTTTATTTTATCCTATGACTGTCACAGAATAACAGAAAATAACATGCCATTGACCATGGTTGAAGGCAACTTCAGGCTAAAAAGAGCTTGTGATACTATAGTCATGTATATTTGTAGACTCTGGAAATCTAGAAAATCTGAAGCCCACAATTATCATGTTTTAATCTCAGATGGGATAATGCTATGGAGAATGAAGAACCAACTTTGGAATTTCTAAAATAGCCCCACCCACTTTGTGTCTGGATAGTACATATGTGCTCAGTGAATCTTGTTGTGAGCCCACGGGCATTAGTTTGCACGCATTTGTGGAACCAGGAAGGTTGTAGATGTATTTTTATACATTGAGTGTAATTGGACTCCTCGTGAAGAAAAATACTGCTCTGTGAGTGAAGATATTGAAGTCTAGCTCATCATGATACACAGTTTTCTTGCAATGACCATACAAGGAATTCTTACTACAATCAATTATGTACAATTAGGCTTATACTTACAGATTGTAGTGGCTCCTGGACCATAGATATATTTTGTCCTGTACAATGTAGCCAGCTCTTTAACTGCAGCACCAGCAAGGGCATCCTGTCAGGAATGAGAAATGATTTTTAGGTATTTAATAGCTTTTACTCAGAAATCCAAGTTAATTCATTAGCTGGTAGCGGGGGTGGGCTTTGAGAAGCTTAAAATGATTTTACCTGTTGTATATCTTTGAGACTCATTAGTAATACTCATAAGGTTATTGTCTAGCAATCTACAAATTTCTACTGTGTGTTTCTTCAGCATAAACATAGCCTATCAATAAATAGCCCTAATTTTGAACTTTATATGGAGCCAGGAAACAAAGGGGACAACAAGATACAGGGATTACTACAACTTGTATCTGTGAGTGGAAATAAAGAATGTGAAGAAATATTAGAGTGAGGCTTCGGTCTGGTAGACATATTTGTTGTGGTAGCTATGTAGATTCAAGGCTTTATTTTTCTTCTTCTTGCACAGGTATTAATTCTGAACAATACTAGTTTAGTCACTGGAGGTGCACAGTAAAAATGGTGTAAGAGAAATCAGAAATAGGTCTTGTCAATTCCAGATCCTACCAGTGTGACTCACAGGAGGCCATACATTATCCTTCACTTCCATTCTTTTCAGTGAAAGGTCCCTGTGCAAATTGGGACTCATTCAACTCTCACTGATTTCAATGTGAGTTGGATCAAGTCCATCCACAGTAAAATACTGTCCGGGGTGTTTGCATTAAGAAAAATTATAGCCTTTCTTTTGGAAAGTGTGGCTTTTCCATTTCTTCATAGAGCATGTTGGTAATAAAATATGGAAAATATTACTAACAGATGACAAATATTTGCTTGTATTTTATTAGTTGAAAGCAGATGTTTAACACGAGAATAAGCAATGGATTGCATGTATGCCCCCTATAGTTCACAGTTAAATGACATGGTACTCCCAAGAATTTTTCAAATCTTCTGTTTCTCTCTTGTTGCACTATAGATTATCCCTCCAAAGAAGAGAGACTTTAAATAAGTCTGTGACTTCTGTTTAGTTTCTGCACATCTTTATAAACTGTTCCAAAAACAAAAACACAACTCTCCATACTCACGTTAAAACAGTAGGTTTTTCTGTTGTAAGCTAGTAACTTCTGACTATGCCAGTGAGAGGCTTCAGCTGTAAAATGTACACTGAGAAGTAGATTTTGAACACCCCAGAAATCTGGGCTTTTGGTTTGCTGCATTCCATGGAGGCCATTAACAGAAGGTAGATTTAGGTCTGAGAGCAGGTTTCAAATGCTCCCCAAAGACTGATAGTGCTTGATTGCTGAGTTTTGATTTTGGCCTCTGTCTTTTCTAAGTATAGGTAATTGTAAGAGTGCTGTTTTGATGTACAGTGCCCCTCTGTACACATGCAGGTAAAGGCAAAATGGGAGCTAATACACGATTGAAAGCGTGGGGCTTGCAGCAGTAGCAGTGTTCTGGTGCTAACCCCCCGGTGAGCCTTGTAAAGTGTGGTGCTCACTGTGGGGCCAGCGGGGAGAATGCTGCCACCACTGTGAACCCCACACCTCCTGACGCGCACAGCACGGGCAGCACTCTCCCCACTGCCAGCCCTGCACCTCATGAGGGTCACTGGAGTAGCTGCATTCTCCTCCCTGGCCCTGCTGTGAGACCCACAGCCAACGCTGCTGCCCCTACTGTGAGGCTTTTCAGGTGTAGGGCTCTCTGTAGGGGCAGTGCCGGGAATGCTGTCACCTCTGTGAGCCTTGTCAGCTATGCGTCTTGCAGATAAATCAGGAAAATTGAGGCACAACTGTGTGGATTTCTTTCTGAGGGGTTTATTTTCTTTTTGTAGATCCCGTTGAACAACTGGTTGTGCTAGTTAGAGGATTATTTTACTGTTGTACTGTAAAGTGCTCTTGAACTCTCAAGAATCTCTCACTTGTGGGGGAAATCCCAGTTAAACACTAGTTAAAACCAAGTAACATTGCTGAAATAAGTGGAGCCACTCTAAATGTATGCAATGTAACTGGGAGCAAAGTGGTTTCCAGTCCCACATTTATTGCAGAAACTGCTTGATCCAGGACAGTCCTGGTGCTGATCTCTCAGCTTGCTTTCTAGTGATTAAATTTTGCTTAATCTTGTGCAGTCTGTCACCTAGCCAGTGGAATAAAAGGGCCACATGGCCTGATCTTGTTATTTTATTTAATTCACACCCTTTTAACCTAAGTTTTCAGTTACTAGACTAATGAAAATCATGTATTGCTGGTCTTCCTCCTGACTATATCTCGGGGCTTGTGCTAACAAGATAATTTATTAGGCTAAGCAGCTTCTAACTGCTCATAGATTATCTTTTGGGAGCTGCCTCCTTATCTTTGCTCCTGTATCATCAATTCAGATTTGCCTTAGCAAATTGTTGCTGGTTCAAACACAGCGGGACTTTAATGAGGCGGCTGCTGCACGGAGGCAGGTTCTTTTGACGTCAGTGGGCTATTGGATGAGAATATTGACATCATAGTGTCATCCCAGGATCTTGAAAAAACATGGGCACACTCACTTCCAAACCCATTCTTTCATCAGCAGTAAGCTCTGCCCTGCTCAAGATAGACTTCTTGGGGCTCTAAATTGTACTTTTCACTTTAACTGTCTCACAAATTATTCAGGGGTCCCTTGATTGTCCTTTGCAGTGATAGTGTTATGGCTCCCTCTACATGTACAGGTAAAGGTGCAATGGGATCTAATGTACGATCCACACAGTTGCGCCTCCTGCTATACCACATGTGAATGGCAGGAGGCATGATTGTGGGATCATGCATTACATCCAGCCATGCCTTATTGCTAGTGTAGGGTTCTTGCCCTGTCTGTTGGCAAGAAGCAGGCTCCCATGGCTGGAAGCCCACTTTGTTGACAGGGCTCCCAGTCATGGGGACCATGTACAGATGGGACCAAGAGTCCCATGCCTGATGGGGTTCTCAGTCCTGACTGACATATGTGTGGTGCAGGTGAGAGTCCTGTCAGGCATGGGACTCTTGGTCCTGGCTGTGCCCCAAGGGCCACTGAGACAAAAAGCCCTGTCAGCTGTTGGATTTTGGTCTCCCAGCTGTGGGGGTATGTAGAATACCCCATGGCTGAAAGATCAAAAGGTTGGGGGATGACAGCAACTGTGGTCTCCCAACTCCTGCCTGGAGCACCCCCAGGCCCCTGTGGCTGAGAGACTACATTGGCTGTGATCTCCCAATCCAGGGGCATGTTGTGTCCCCCCAGCAGCTAGGAGATCACAGCAGCTGCAACTGGATAGAAACCAGCTTTAAAGTTTTTACACATTTTCAAGCAATAACTTTATAGTTGGTTGGACCTTTTTAAGGTTCAACTGGCTATATGGGCATGATAGTTCATTTGCCCATGTAGCCAGTATAAAGTTATTGAACAACTAAAAAAGTAATTGTGCAATAGATGTAGCATGTAGAGTGGGCCTACAAGTCCAAAATGTGAACCTAGCCATCTTTAATATATCCACCCTTCTTTATATGCAGCGAGTGCTGTATAGCCATTCCAAAGCATTCCATGTTGTTAGCGTATTCTCATCCAGTGCTACTGAACTGAGGCAAATGTATCCTGGGGCTGTTGGAGATTTGCTACACAAGCAAGAGGGAAGAAGCTGCTAGTAAAGCTGTCTTACTGAGAATTGGAAGATTGCTAGTCCAATGTGATAACAGTTTGTAGGAAGTAATGTGAAAGGCAAGAGAGCATATCCAAAAGCCACTTTTCTTTGCCCCAGTACAACCACATCTAAAAAAGAATCCATTCCTCCCTAAATCCTTTCTCTTTATTTTTGTTTATTTGTGCTCCACAATCAATACTATTAACATGTAATTGTAATAGATAAAACAATCAATCAAAAAGCAGCTAGAGAACTTAGATGTTCAGGCTCTGGGGGGCAAAATATAGCTGATGAACCTATTGATTAGACAAGTATGACTCAGCTGTAAAGCCCCAAGTAACTACAAGCTCTTTTTTGTGTTTTTGTTCACAAGTACCCTCAAAATGAACACTAATAAATTGCAGTACTGCTTTTTAGACTTCATTTTTAGATTTCCAGTGAATAGTAATCCGGGCCTAATTAATTAATTACGGTAGTCACCACAAGGTTTAGTGATCCCTATAAGGCTGTCTTCAGCCTACTCAGGGGCTTAAATGGGTTGTAAATAATATGTAAGCCTAATGGAAAAAGTTGAATATCACCAATCATGAACAGTAACCAATAGGTAATGGTGACCAGTGTTTTTCCGGTAACTTGAATCCTGCCAAACATTCTACTAAAACCTAGTACCTAGATACTTTATTTGTAATTATCCATGTATAAATATAGAATTTGTTGCCTGACAAAAATACAATAATCTAGCAGTTATTTTAACGGTATTTGTTGGTTTAACTGTTAATTAGAATTTTCCCATACTAAGAAGGATTCTTGAGACCTATAACCAGTAATGCAGTGAAAAAATTATCTAGCAAACAAAGTAATTTGTTACATTTTTGCAGTCCCTAGGTTTAAGTTAATACATCTAGCCATGGTCCTGATGAGAGGAACATCAAGAGCTATCTACATCTAGTAAACATAATATCTAAACTCAGTTTACAGCCTATTCAAATACGAAAGAAGATTTGGGAAATTTTTGCTGAAAATGAGTGAATGGGATGACCTCATGGGAAGCTGAGGCCAAAGTGGGAGCAAATTCAAAATACAGACTAAAGGTTTCTAAACAAAGTGATTAAGCATACACAGGCTTACGATGAGAGAGCAACAAAATGTAAATATTAAAAGAAAAATTAAGGGAAGTTTGGCTGTGAAAGGGACAAGGCAAATTTTCGGGGTTCATGAAAGCATATATTCCCTTTTGTGCAGGGCAACACCCAGATTTATAATAGTGAAGGGAGTTTATGAAACAGGCTGAATGTGTTCATTCTGATAGACAACGTACTTCTTCCAAGAAAACATTACAGAATTCTTGTGCAGTTCATGTCAATTTCCTCAGTTGACCCATTTTATTTTCTTGTCTGGGGTTTCATCATTGTCATTCAAGCATTGCATGGAAAACTGGATATTTTCATGCTTAATATAAGGCAATACTTTCATTTCCACAAGGGGGAAACATGAATGGAGAACAAATTTACTAGAAAATCCCATTTGTGTAGATCCCCAAATACCCTAGAGGTCTACCTGGTGAATTTGAAGAGAGGGGTTGGGAGGGATAAAATACCTGTGGGGTTGCTCAAGCAGAAATGGCATTGTAGTTCTGGAATCCCTCAGAGAAAAAATGCCGTGTACAGTGGTTGTTTCCATCTTACTTACCTACTCAGGTGCTCACTGCCTACTTGCTGAGCCCTGTTTAAAGCTGGCAAAAAAGAGAGGTTGGCCTGGAAGAAAGGAGGCAACAGCCTATATTGATCCCTCTGCTCTCTATTTTTATAGATTTAGGGTGCTGTTAATGCCAGGTTACTTGATTTTTTCCCTCTTACTTCCAGGCCTCCCACTGGAATGCAGCATGAGCCCCATGATATTAACCTATCTTAATTAAGTACTGTGGAGCAATATGTTAAAATAATAATGATATGCAGGCATGAAGTTTTGTTTAACCACATGTCTTATCACACAGTAAAAAGATAAGAAATGGCAACTATATTTCCTATAATTTATTAGATCTGTCAGACTAAAAATAAACATCTAAGATAAGATAATAGGCCTATTAATCTTACTTCTTCATTTATGGAATGGTTTACAATCCATTTATTTGCCAACACAATTTGTATAAAGGTTGAGAGTCTAGTTTTCCAGACTTTCTCTCAATACTGTTTCTAGGCAGATCTTTGCAGAAGTGAAACACATTCAACACCCTACAGTTATTGCCTTTTTATGTTTTTTCCCTTCCATATTTGCTGTCTCTTTTTAGCTGATGAAAAGTTTCAAGAAGAAACCCTAATTTATTTTGGTATGGTTCATGTGAATTTATTTAGGTTGCTGGAAACCAACAGAAATCTATTGACTGGTGGGATTTTGGATCAGGCACTTTCTGTGTAGACATCCCATCTAAAGATGATATGAATTGGTTGGTATTGTGTCTCGTTCTCAAAAGCTAAAATTTTTTTGGCTAAGAATATCTTCCCTTATTAAAGTCAGGTTTTGCATAAGTGGAATCTCTTTGAGATATTCCTGCTGTCTTTTTGTTGGGAGCTCCAATTTAGAAAGTATTTTCCCTTAATTAGAATATGAGGACAGTTGATCAGGTCACCTTTAAGTGGCGGTGAGATATGTGGTTGCTTTGTGGTGGGAAATAATAGAACTCCCTCTGGGATCATGTGGCTGTTTTAAAATATGGGATAAATTTTACAATGGGATGACTAACATATGAAGTGAAATCAATGGATGAGTAGGCATACAGCTAGCATTTCTGAAGTACTATTTATTTTTTTATGTTGAACAATAATAAAAAAATCATTCTTTGAGCCAAAAGAAATTGGGTTTTTTATTATTATTAATAAAATTTTTAAAACCTTAGCAGGGATGATTGTACCTAATCTTCATTTTTATTTTATTCCTCCAGATTATAATAGAACAGGGCAGTTAATATGAAAATTGTTCATCCAGAAAAAGAAAAAGTAACAGTGAAGAACAAGAAAAGTATATTAGCCCTTTCCTACTGTCCATGTTTTGTGTCTTTAAGGTTTCTTTCTTTTTCTGTGTGTGTTTGAGTGTTAATACAAATGTTTTCCATGTAATGCTGTGAAAAACATGTTGTATGTATGTGTCACTACATTTGGGCTTGACTTAAAAAATTAGGCAGAAGTTCACAAAAACTTCTAATGTGATCTTGTCAAAGGAGTTTGAGCATTTGCATTGTTTACCTATTTAAATTAAACTAGAACATGTTAATTAGGAAATATTTTGAAAAAATAAAACACAAAAAAACTGAGAATTGACTGTAGTTCCCTGGGGTTTTATAATTAAAATAGCTTGGTATGTAAAGTAACATGGAAAATGCAACAAAACCTTGAAATCCATTCCTATTAAGCTGCAAAATGTCCAAGAAGAAAGCATAAAGTTGGCCATTCACTTCATATGGGCTTCAGAATTATGACATTCATTTGGGAGCCTTCATAAATCTGTCATAATCTCCCAGCAAGATGGCCTACTTAATGCTATTGCCTTGGACTTCTGGCAGCTTTCAGGGAAGACAGAGGATCAAGATTTCTTTTGTTTTGTTTTGGTTTTTTTTGCTATGTCGCTTTTCTTGCCAACAATTGTAATGGCTAATATTCCACGGAATTGAAGTAATTTTATTATTTATGATGATTTTATTGCTTTCTTTTTTATTGTATGAAATGTTTATAACTTTTGCACAAAAAGTCCTTTTTAAAAAGAATAAATAATTCATGTACCAAATTGCCGTTAGCAGACTCAAACAGCACTCAGGCTAGGGTGTGCCTCTACATTTCAAATAAAACATTATTCCTTTCAAACACTAGAATATTTTCCCTTTTTCAGAATAATGTGTATTTGAATGTGGCTTTATTCAAGGACATCTGAAACTGAAGCACCATCTATCTGCTGCTAGTATGTAGCTATGATAGTTGGCAAAACAGACTGCCCAATGGGCCTGATACTGCCTCACTCCAGTCAATGGAACGCTGAAATTTTATTTTTAATACCAGATTTTCTCAAATACAACACATTCCTTTCCCCCCCAAAACAGCTGCTGAAAATAGGTGTGTGCAGTATATGCAGGAAATATGGTAAGAGCAGTTTCTGCCACTTGCTGCATGAAACAGAAAGTAATATCTGCAGTAATTCACAGGGAACAGAACAATTAACAGGCTCCACTTCCTGGCTGCTGCTGCTCTATTACTACAAGGAAAGAGCTTTTTTTCTTCATTTTGCCTTGTAAAAACAAGGCATGTGTTATTCTAGGGCATGTTGTATATTCTGGGGCATGAAAATAGATAATAATAAGTCCCAGACTTATGTTTCAGGGCCAGATCATTCTGCTCAATAATATCTGCAGAGCTAGGAGCAATTTACACAAGCTGTGGGTCTAGCCCAGAGAGCATAATGTTGCAATACAATGTATTGCAGCTGGATACAGTGTTACCTATTGAAAGTTCCCCATGTTGGGGTACAGAGGTAACTCTTTTGTAATGTTAGTTCAGTGCTCTAGCCAATTGCCTGCAGGGACAAGAAGTGTTTCCCTTGAGTGCCTTATTGGTTTCTGTAGGGTGGATAGGGAGTGGGAGTTGTTTGCTTTCCTCTGAAATGTTAGATATTGGCCACAGCTAAGGCTGGGAGTTTTGACTGGGAAATACTGATGCTCCTAGTGATATTTAGAAATCTCACAGATTCCTGGCTTGGGGGCCTTGCTGTTCTGCTCAAGATCAAACCAATTGTCAAATTTGGGGTCAGGAAAAAATATCCCCCTCACCGTTCCCCCCCTCCCCCCCACCTCCCAGTCAGATTGTCAAGAACCAATGAAATATTTGCCTTCCTTTTTAGCATGGTGCATGGTCTTGTTCTTGGTATCCTCTGAATATACAGTATTAACCAATTCTCTGTAATTGCAATGGATGGGCACTGGCACTGACCTGGTCAGACACCCTTGCTTTTTTGTCTGCGACATACTGTAGAATGGTTTTGTAGTTATGGTGTATTAGGGTTTAGAGTGGATGATATTTAGGAGTATTTGGGTAAATGGTTGTCCATGAAAGCAGGGGACTGGGCTCTATGGCTTGAGAGGCCCCTTTTTATTCTATTTCCTATGGTTCTAAGAAGTGCTGTGTAACTTAGATCTCTTTATGGCACAGCTTGAGGTCAAGCCTATCTTTATATTCTTGTATGATGGATATGAACCATGGATTCTTATGCATCTCCTACGCGTAATCCTTCTTGTAGGCAGAAGGAATTCACTGTCTTATAATATAAAAGATTAAAGTATTTTCAATAGATGGTTATTCAAAGTTTTCGAGATGTATAAGAAAATCTCTGAAGATAAACTGACCTAAATAGCAAGTGATGATATGTGCTTATGCTCCCCACAACATCAACATTTCAAAGAGCTACAAAGAGTTCCTACTTACCAGCTCATTGTGGTTCTTTGCCTGATCATAAGTATAAGAATAGGGAAACAGCAACATTTGGGAATAGGAGTGAATAGTTAAGTACGCCTTGATAGTAGAAAGATGTTTACGAATAAAATCAGCCAGAGCTTTGGTCTCCTTTTCGGACTCAGGTGCGCTGCCACAGTAAGTGTCATCACAAGGACGTTTTGAGGCACCAACGGCTGCAAGGAGAAATTAATATTGCACTTAATTAAATGTAGTGATGTTGATGGACCTTTGAAAAATTAGCTAAAACCACCAGTGCCATCCTTTAGACTTTTTAGTCAGCTTTAATTTAGCCTTTTAGTACTTATATCACGTACACAAACAAAACATTTGTATGCTCAAATGCCATTGGGCGGTATAACACAGCATTTGGCAAATATTTTATCTGTACTGTATTTGAAGTGTTTCTACATGTGCTATTAATGCTATGAAGGCTTACTGCACAGTAAAGTACTACACAGTAAGCCTTCCCTGCTGGTTTTGCTCCCAATGGGCGGATCCACATGAGTACACATGTGCGTCTTGCAGAGTCTCAAAGCCCTTTGGGACCTTGCAAGAGGCACATGTGGGAATGCAAAATTAGGCCTTGGATATCCAGGGGTCAAAAAAAACCCATGGGGGAAAAAAGCAGGGCAGGGCAATGTCCTGGACTGTGCCCTGAGGCAACCGGAAGCTTGGTCCTCCACAGAGACGCTCTGTTAGCCTGCCAGAGCATCTTTATGGCTGGCCTTAACCCCGGTGCTGAAGCATGCTGCCTGCTGGTGCAGGGCAAGCAGCATGCCAGCAGGAAGCTGGACCTGGACTCCTACCGGTAAGTAGGGGGAGGGGAAGGGCTGGAGGAGCAGGGAGGGGACCATGGGAGGACCCCCGCTGGCCCCACCCACTGTCCCATCCCCCTGGATCACTGCCCTGCCCAGCCCTATCCCCTGCCTGCTCCTTCAAGCCCTCCCAGTTGCTGCCCCACCCGGCCCCAGCCC